TCATCTTCTTCATCAAGATCCTCCCCGTTGTACGGGGTCTCCTCCTGCTCCGTGCTCGGAGTATAAGTGAAATCGTCTGGTTCAGTGGCCCAAGACAGGTGCACATAACCGACACGCATGCTACTTGCCGTTGGCGTTGTAGAACGCTCACGACTCCTGCCTCAACCTCTTCCTCGGTCCTGGCCCCGGCCTCTACCTCTAGAGGTCCGTGATTCTGCCCATGTGTCGTGCCCGGTGGCCCCCGGTACACGACACGTTTGGTTTCTCCTAGTTATCCTACGTCCACCCTCCATTTCTGAAAGAAATAAGGAATGAACCATTAGACTCGTTTCAATGTCGATTGACGGAATAGTACAAAAGACACCACTTGGTCCAACATTATGGCCAACAAACTGTTAAGGGTACCGTCTTAACAATAAGAGGTCAATAACATGGTTTTGTTCAAAACTTTTTGATGGTAAAATATTGAGAGGTTAATTATATAGTTTAGAAATCGATGGCTCTGATACCATTTAATTGTCACGCCCCGGACCGCATCCGAGCCACGTAGACAACCGTCGTACAACCCGATAAGAACAACATTATTAGTTCATCCTTATTGAATCATACAAGGCGTCCGATAAATTCAATTGCCAAACCGATTAGTAAACACATACAATCAACATCAATATCGTAATCAAACAAATGCGGAAATAATATGTTTGATACTTAGCCACACGTGGCAAACATGAGCACGCAGGCCCCCAACTGTTTAAAGGAAAACATTGTTTAAATACCCATGAGCAGTTTACAAATTTTAAATAAGAATCGAAGCACGAACCACATCTTCCTTCTTGATTAGTCACCCTAGGAAAAGGTACAGGTAGTAGGACTCTAACCTCAACCTCAAAAATGTGAGGGTCCCCGGAGGGGTCAGTACTCCATAGAAGTACTAGTGACAAGCAGGCTATATGAAGAATAACTAATGTTTCAGATACGAGACCCAAAAATAGGGTGATACATATATATAGATGTCTCTCATCCACCCGATGATACATATTGTATATATATTCATAAATACTTAACCCGTAGGTCATTTACCTTAAAGTGTCTTTTAGAGATAAAGTTCTTACCTGACTTATCTCACTCATTTCCCGGATTTCTAGCTCACAAGCTATGTTCTACATTCGTAATATCCTACCGAGTTTCAGGATCATTGACCGTCCCGGGGATACTCAACCCCAACCGAGTTTCAGGATCATTTACCGTCCCGGGGATACTCAACCCCAACCGAGTTTCAGGATCATTTACCGTCCCGGGGATGCTCAACCCCAACCGAGTTTCAAGATCATTTTCCGTCCTGGGGATGCTCAACCCCAACCGAGTTTCAGGATCATTTACCGTCCCGGGGATGCTCAACCCCAACCTTATTCCTTACCAAACCCTAACCTGGATATGGCTAACCTTTCATCTCTTAACTATGGAAAATACCTAGCCCTATAGTCTTATAAACATCCTTAATAACCAACGTGGACGGTTCTCACATGAACGGTCCACGTTAACCTTCCCAAAACTGTCCGTTTTGAGCATAACCCAATACCCGGTCGGGTATCCAACCTTACCCGGTCGGGTATCCAAAACTGAAGCCAAATTTACTTGATACCCGGTCGGGTCTATACCCATACCGGGTTGGGTCTAGTGTGGCAGTGGCTTCTGGAGCCATTTTTAATCAATACCCGGTCGGGTATTTACCCATACCCGGTCGGGTATCACCTTTGTCTTGGCGGTCAACAGCCGTTTGACCGCCCAAACGAAGTCCGATTAACGTGAAATTTTATACACATGTATTTCTTGACGTTCTTAATCCAAAAATACCATTTTGGATCACTGGAACATCATACATGATAATTTACCACCTTATTAATCATCAAACATATTGATGGAGTATATGGCCCAGGGGCCCCAACACATAGACTCCTACTACTCTAACAAGGGCCCAACAAGCCCAGGAAGCACAACAGGCCCAAGTCACAGCGCCCCGAGTAACAGGAAGCCCACGGTGCCCATACAGCCTCCTTCGCCCCCTGGCCAAAGGCTCCAAATTATCACAGAACAGCTGGTTTAAGCATACGAAGCCACTGGGAGAAAATAGAGAAAACAGTAGCCTTCGGCAATTTGAAGCCCTCGGCACTGTGAGTCCCTCGGTATGAGGAGCCTTCGGACTGTCATCTACAGCCGAAAGCATCCTCCTCGACAGAATCTCCCACCCACATGCGCTGGATCACTGTATCAAGCACAAACGTCACATCCAACCACTGCATTTAATGCGGCCACATGCGAGTGTCGGTGCCACCCCGATTGAGATGATTCTCGGTCGTCGGATGCTTGACACGTGTCCCCGTCTGGCATTTATTACTACTATAAATAGCAACCCCTTTTCCCTTTATAAGAGACAACAAGTTCATTTCATACATTTCACTCTCTCTCTTACTTATTCGCTCTGTCTTCTCTCTAAGTTACTCGTCGCAATAACCCCTCGGATAAGCTACCCCTCGGGTACACTATCCATCACATATATAACATGCTTTTCAACTATGTTTTATATATAATCATGGCATAAACATGTACTTGATTATCTTTAATCATTCCATAAAACATATCCTTGATTACTTTAAGTAATCGCATGCCTCACGCAAAAGTTATAAAGCATAAAGTCGTCTTCTCACCTTAATGATGCTTATGAAGTTCTAGCCTTCCTGATTTAGCTCTGGCGAAACTCCGGCGAACTTCGGTGAACTCCGGTGACAATTCCGGCGACCCTTTCAACTTCGTGAAAGTTCCTTGAATACCTAGGCAAGTTACTAACAAGGTTTTATCATCACAAAACTCATATTAATACAAATAACCTTTAAAGGGTTATTTTCCGGCGAACCAGTCAACTTTGTTCTCCAGGTCCCTTTTGGTTGGAAACCAACACTCCAACCCCTTATTCTACACCTCTAAAGGTGAAGAACAATAATAAGGGTCTATAACATGATTCACTCAATCATGTGGAAGGATTAGAGAAAAGAAACGGGATTAAAGAAATCAATACCTTGATTGCCTATACTTTCCCTTCTTAACCTTCTCTTTTCTCCTCAACTTTGCTCTCTTCTCCCTCCTTTGTTTTTGTGCGAAAATGGGGATGGAAATGGAGTATTTTCAGAGCTCCTCTCACCGAGAATTAAGACCAGGTCGAAGCGTGAGAGCTGGAGTGATTGAGAATGCCCTTTGGCATTTTTCTCAATGATAGCATGGGGGGCCCATGTCATTTATTGCTCTTGGATGCAAATCAGGTCCTGCTCCCTTCCTCTTCCTTCTTGTGTGGCTCTCCTAGATAAATATTTTCGGATGGCCCCCACTTCTGTGGGAGGTCATCCCTTTAAGTCCCGATGTGTACAATCGGCCCCGAAAGTTGTATTTTTCGGACTGTTTTAATTATATTTTATTTTATCGGGTCAAATAAAATATGACACATGTTCCCCATCATTATTGGACCTTATAATGAATATAGATTCCTCAACTTTAATTTAGAAGTCCCCCGGAATTCCTTTTCGGGCTGTTATCTGATAAATTACCGATACTGATAATTGGGCCTCGTCTGACCAACCGGTCAACCCTATACCTTTGCCACGGCCCAATTTGGATATCCACCACCATATACATATCATCTAGGCCAAGATGAATATAATATGTGGTCCCGATAACGTCGGGCGGCCCCCACTTTCGGTGTGGGCCCCACGTGAATTTTACTATTCACGTAAAAGAAATGATACAAATTTACAATCACGAGAAATGTGTTTACTCATTTCTTAGGGTTCAATACATGATTTAATAAAGTACAAATACTTGGGGGCGGTGTTACGGTTGGTCATTGGACGGACGTCGATCACTATGACTTTTAGTCTCTTTTATGAAAATTTAACAAAAGGTCTCCTTTTTGTCAATGAATTAATAATTAGTAGAAGTATAATTCATTTATTATTGTCCTAACCCCATTATAGTTTTTACCAAAAAATACTCCCTCGTATTTATATGTTTTCTCACACTTTCCGATTTGGGATGTATTTAAATCTTTGCTGCACATTCTCTTTTTGGTAAATTTTTCCTTCAAAAATATTCAATTATTCTTATTTTTCCTACTTTTTATGTTATTTTTTCTGCCTTTTCGGCTTTTCTCCTACCTTGCTACAGTATTCATCAACATTACTATTTGTATCTTAAATATTGTGCCAAGAGCCCAAGGCATAATACAATAGTGATCTTTTAAATACAAAAGGAGTATGTAGAGATGACACTAGGGGTGGAATGGGGACGGTTATAAATATAACCGTACTTGCCCTATTTGGTAACTTCCCCGCCCCGTAATCGCCCCCTTATCGCATGAGTAATTTTTATTCAAATCATAACCGTCCCAATGGATAACGGTATAAATTAACATAGCCTAGATGACTCTAGATTGCCAGACGTCACGTAAATGTTTCGTATATCTTCAAGACGAGAAAGAAGACAACCAGAACTAATCTGAACCTAAAATACTTAAATTGAAAAATAATTAATCACGTAAAAAAACTAATAATAATAAAACAAGACTATTAAAATTTATTATACATCTCATTTATATGCTATAGATAGCACATTCATTAGCCATATATACACAATGAAAAGAGAAAAACATCATCATTTATTGATTTTGGAACAAATAATAGGAAAAACTGTAATAGAAATATAACTAAAAAAAATGAGGCGGGAACGAGTAGGTATGGACGGACATGTATAAAACCGTAACCGTCTCATTACCCATAAAAATAAGATGTGTATTTCCTACCCTGTAACCATTACCTGGTCTATGCGATCTTCTCCATTTTGACCGGGACGGTTCGAAGCGGATATCCCTAGGTATTAGAGTGCGATTATTACTTATTAAAATCTTGGAGCATTTCATCACTTACAATAAATACTCATAAAATCTTGGAGCAAACGGAAAATCTGAAAAATCAAGCAAACGGACGTGAGAAAATCGATTAGGGGCTGAGATGAAAATCCCTAAACTCCTAGGGTTATATCTGAAAACCAGTAACTTCCCTCTACCCGTTCATCCCGGAAGACCGAAACCCTAGCCTGTATAAGTACCGCTTTCCGAACCTCCGGTCGAAACTCCTCGTTCACATACGAAACTCTCTCGATTCAGTTTGCTCACAAGTCACAACCCACCCTTACCCACGTCTCCGTCTCGATTCAGTTGGCGGATGGCCGCATCAGCGAAGGCTCCGTTTTACCTAAGTTGGTACAGGGCTTTCTTGCCCAACGGTAATTGCAGGAAGGAAGTTCGCTACTATCTGAAACGCAGTGACGGACTATCAGATCTTGCAGTTGTCGGAACCGAAAAAGGTACCAGGCATATGTCATATAACTACGCAATAAAGGACGTGTCTTTGATATCGGCATCGTGCCCTCTGTCTGTTCCAAAGCTCCGGAAACGAAGAGAAGTCGTCGATTGGCTTAATTCTATTGTTTCAGGTCCATTTTTCGTATACACCTATGAGTTTATTTATATCGCAGCTTCTATGTATGTGCCTCTTTAACTTTGGTATAATCAATTTAGTCCAAGCTTTTCTTTTTTCCTTATTGTGGTGGGTCTTTTTTTAGACTCTCCACCTTAATTGTGAATTCCAGCAGTATTGGGAGAAGATCTTCCAGATCTTGTCAATTTGTTTTCATGTAGTGATTTGGGTCCTATAGCATTTAACGCTCTCTCATTGTAATTGTGTTTTGGGCGTGTTTGAAAACATTCCTTCATGTTCGAAGCTTCATAGATGAGGGTTTTCAATTTCCACGCTGGGATGTGTGTAGGCAGTGAATCCACATATTTAATATTTTTCCGAGTAATTGTAGCTTTTGTGGATAATCTTTAAGTTTCTTGCCCCTGCTTTGATCTATTAAACATCACTCCGTAATTTATTTATTTAGCCTGCAAAACAGAGTCAATCCCAATTAACTTGTCTGCAAGTCTACAATCAACTTTTATTTAGACAGCCCATATTTTGACTTTTATGAATATAATATTTCTAGGCTACAAAAAGTTTTATTCTAAATCTACTTACTTACAGGCATTTTAATTTTGAAAATTTTGTTTTCTTTCTTTATATGTAAATAGCAAAACAGGATATTGACAAGTTCTCTTGTCCATTCTGTGCAATCATACATCGTCAGAAATTCCCTATTTCTTTTGCAAGTGCAGTTTTGTGCCAAAAAGAAAACGTTAAACTGAGGATTATGCAACTTGCAAATTGCAAGTCAAAATATGCGACAGTTTTTTAAACGTGATTGCTTGATATTGAAATTTTGTCTCGTGCCTAAGCTAGTGTGGGGTTGCAGATGATAATCTCACCCGAAAGGTCTGGGCTGCAGGAACTCAAAAAGTTGCTTGAGAGCTTCAAGATTCTTATGCCCTCAATCTAGGTCAAGTTCTATGATGACTTCCTATGGGCACAAAGTTACATTTATTGAAGCATTATTTTCTTTCCATTACTTGACTAATCCATTTTAGGTTAAATTCTTTTTTGTTATGTGCATTCAGAAAATATTGTTGTTCTCCATGTTTTGTTGGTCGAACTGCTTTGCTAATTATCTTGTGATCTTTAAGGGTTTCCAATTCTGAATCCATTTGAAATCATGCCTTTTTTCAGATATGCTTCATCCTCAAGACACCAGGGAAGCATGTGGAACCAGCAAAAATATAGCTTCAGGCTTGAATGCATCGAATACATTGGAGGTTAGTTAGTTCTGCATTTTACTGGAAGGAGATTGAATTTTAGTTGCGTTATATTCTAAAGTGAGTTGTTTTTCAAAACTGTGTTAGGATGTTGTGTTGCAGAGATCTGAACAGCCTTTCAAAACATTTACTTGGGTAGGGTCTCCACGGGCTGTTAAGAAGAACCGTTCTCACTATATATCATTCTGCAGGAATGGTGTTAGAATTTCTGTGAGTTCAAAAAAATTAAATATATGCATTGGGGGATACTGAAACTCATCCTTCTTAGTGACATTATTAACTTACTCTTTTATACATTTCCAGGTTCATGACTTTGTTTATGTGTTAGCTGAATTTGACAAGCGGCTTGTTGCTTACCTGGATGACATGTATGAAGACAGCAGAGGAAACAGAATGGTTGTGGTACGCTGGTTTCACAAAATTGATGAAGTTGATATTCTTTTGCCTAATAATAACTATAATGACAGAGAGATTTTATTTTCTCTTTGTCTTCAAAACCTCAGTATTGAGTGCGTAGATGGACTGGCGACTGTCCTCAGTCCTCAGCATTATCAGAGTTTGGTTAGCTTACCAAACCACACACATACGGGACCATTTGTTTGCCATAGGCTCTTTGATAATGATGAGCTCAAGTCCTTTGATATAACCAGCGTTAAAGGCTACTGGAGACAAGAGCTATTAAAACATCACATGTCTTTCTCATCGCCCAAAAAAATGCACTCAGAGGAATTTAGCGGTGACATTGTTGGAAACAGGCCTTACAAAAGGCTACGCATTTCAAAAGACTCTGTACCAAGGAAGTGGGCGTTTAAGTCTCCCCAAAAGCAATGCAATGGTAGTTCTCTGGCACCCATGGAAATAAGCAATTCCAATGAAGCTTGTCTTGATGTCATGTTACATAGGAAAGATACAGTCAGAGAGGAGCATGTCCTGAAATTTGACATTGGTTCCCAAGTTGAAATAATGTCTCAAGATAGTGGCCTTAGGGGGTGTTGGTTCAGAGGTGTGGTGATTAAGAAGCACAAGAACAAGGTGAAAGTGCAGTATAAAGATGTCAAAGATGCTGAAGATGAAGCTAAGAATCTTGAGGTGAGTGTCACCCACTGTTAAGTTTACAATCCATACCCGCAAGTTCCTCTCTGATTTTGTTACAACCTACAACTTCGATGAATACTGTATTGATTGTCATTTTTTCTTGTTTTTATCATTAACCTTTTTTAAACATTCTTTTCATTTTAATCTTGCAGGAGTGGGTTTTGTCAACAAAGTTAGCCGCACCAGATAAATTTGGTCTCCGGATTAATGGGCGAACTTTACTCAGACCTTCTCCTTCACCTCGTAAGGGCAGAGTCTCATGGGCATTTAATGTTGGTGTATCTGTTGATGCATGGTGGAATGCGGGGTGGTGGGAGGGCATTGTTGTCCAGAAAGAATCTGAAAACTGGTTACATATATATTTTCCAGGTCGGTGTTTAGTACCCATTTATTTGTGATTGTTACGACTCCATAGTTGACAAGTGAACTTATAAAATCAGAAATACATGATGTTGTTTCCAATAAAATATTGAATTTACAGAAATGATACCCTTGATCTTATTAGAAGCACAGGCATATAATAAAAAAACTACCCATCTCATAAGCTTCCTTAAATATGTTCTGTAATCTAGACTAGCTATCATGTGTCCTTAAATCGCTATCTTACCGAATAGTGATATCATGCATTAAAGTATTGTTTATTTTTCATTTGAAACCTGCAGGGGAGAAACAAACACAGATCTTTAGTCACGATAACTTGAGGCATTCACAAGAATGGTTGATCGATGGTTGGAAGCATCTAAAGGAAAATCCTGATCTAATCCCTGTGTTGTGTGGTGGTGTGCAAACAGTGACGGGGGCAGTAAAGGAGTCACTTGATCATGTCATATGCACCGATATTGATGCCTCAGTTCGTTGTGCTCACCACAGACCTGAGAAACCACCTAAAGTCAACGTTGTGTTTGCTAAACAAGGCAATTTGGATGGGTTGGGAGGGGCCAGTGATTTATCTAAAGATAACCGACTTGGTCAGTTGCAGTGGAAGTCATTTAGGAAGAGAAGGTTATCCCGAAGCCCTCCTGTTAACAAGGCACATTTTGGCTTCAACAAAAATCAGAATGTCAATGAGGAATCCAACAGCTTCTTTTCCTCGTCACTGAAGGCAGACCCTGGAAATTGTAAATATATGACCGATTCCCTCTTCAATTCATCTGTTGTCTCTCCATTGAACAGCCTTGTTATGTCTCAGTGAGAAAGGTCTTATAATTTTGAGGCAGTTCCTTTTTAACAACCGCATGAAGAGAAGATGTTTCAAAAAGATTTGAAGCAGTTCCATGGGCGGTTGGCTAGCTTCTTCTCTGAGAGATTTTTGTTGCTGGAAATGTATATAGTGAAGAAGCTTGTAAGGCAGGGGTATTTAAGAAGTCCATAGCGCTGTAGGAATTTGGTTAGAATCTATCATCATCTAACCGTTAGATGATAGGTAACACTCTGGTGTGTATAAATTGTCCAGTGCCATTTATATCATCAGGAAAGCAATTTTGATGATTCAGAAAGTCATGCCCCCTCCCATGTCCATCTCTACATGTTCATAGAGTTCACAGGCCCCTATACTAAAAAAGTAAACATGTAGGCGCATGCATTGAAAAACACCAATCAAGTCATTCTCTTTTTGTACTTTAGATAGCAGTTGAGCAGACCACTTCTTGAACTTAAACATATAATACAATATGTAAATTGTATCAATTTTTAAAAACATAGGAAAGTAAATTTATACAGTAATACAGATGACCTCTCCATTCTTGAGACGCATGTTTGGTACCTGCTTTTAAGTTCCATTCTGGTAGTTGATGATAAAAAATGTTAATTTTGTAACAATTTTATGAATAAATGTGAAAAAAATCAAAGTTGAGAATCAAAAGTAATACTCCTTCCGTCCCAAAATGAACTTCATAGTCACTATTCACATGGTCAATTTAAATTACTCTTAATCTTATGTTTTATATATTAATTTTTTATAAAATTTATATTTTTTTATCAGCCTTTGTAGCGGTTTTAATGTAGTTTCTCAATATGTAAATTTTATTTATTAATAAAAGTAATCTGAGTATGAACAGGGATCGAGTTGCTTTATCGTCGGTTAAGCATCGTAATCCGAAATGAGAAGTTCATTTTGGGACGGAGGTAGTATTTGAAATATTGAAGTAGAACAACTCTTTGTTCAAAAAAAGTAGAACAACTCAAGATGAGTGTGAATTGTTCTTATTTTGTTATAAATAATTGATGGAACCATTTGTAAAACATAACTACAAAAATGGGTTCGGTTCTAATAAAAAAAGACTAGAACCCTTGAGAAGTTTTGGTCTGCCACTGTGCGGGCTCGGCCCGGCCCGGTTGTTCGGGCCCGGGACTAGGACCCGACCTGGGGTGTTTTGGGGGCGGGCTCGGGCTGCAGGATTCTTTGCAACTGGCCTGGCTAGTCTGGTTCCGGTCTGGGCCAAAAAATTATTTTTTCCTTTAAAGTCTGAGGTGGTAAGCGGGTTGGGCTGGGTGTTTTGGAGGGGTTTGGAGTGTGGGGGTAGGAATTAATTAGAAAAGCAAAAAAAAAACGCTACCTAGCCTGGGCCTTAACCCCCAATAGAAAAGCCCGGTTTGGACCGGCTTGGTGCCCGGCCCGGAATCGGTCCATGCCTACTTGGGAACTGAATGAAGTGAAAATAGTTCCAATTTCGCTTTTTTCAGTTCTTAAGAAATTTTCTAATTGTGTAAAATCAATAATAGTTTCATTTTCGCTTTTTTCGGTTCTTAAGAAACTCAGTGATTTTTTTTCTTTCAATAGCCATTTTTTGTTTTCAAGAAATAGAGATTTAAAGTACCTTATTTCTAGTTTAATTAAAGTAGCGTGTACTTCATTTTCAATAATAGTATTCTCACTTGGGCAATACACAGTCGAAATATATAATCATATATTAATTCAAACAATAATGTCTATTCGAAACGTAAAAGGAAGTCTAATCAATTCCAATGATAATTTTGGAATTATTAATAATCTTAGAGCAATTACAATTTTTAGTTTACCACAAAAGAATTTAATCCCTTTCAAATAACATTGGAACATTTAATAAAATGGGTATAAAGTTTTTTGTTTGTTTTTGTTTTACTCCAGGGGGTCTGGGGGGGACTGGGGGGAGCCTGGAGTAATTAGACCTGAAACTCACTTCATTGAGTTTCAAACCCTTGTGTACCTAGCAGGTTTTGAACTCGAAACCTCCCACTAGGCACAATAACTTCGCAACCAACCGGGCTGGAATACTTGGTTAAAAATGCGTATAAAGTTAACAGTGAACAATGAACAATTAAAAGTAGACATGCTAAATGCGTTATTCATTTTATAAATAGAATAAAATGCATAAATGGTCCTTCAACTATCATCAACATATCATTTTGGTCCTCGAACTATTAAATCTATCATTTTAGTCCTTAACCTATTTCATCTATATTAATTGAGTCCTTCCGTTAATTTTGCCGTTAACTTTGACGGAAGCTAATTAGTTTATTAACATCTCATAATTTTAAACATTTTGGAACAATAGAACCATTCTTAAAATTTAAGTAGCTAATCTAGTTTTTTTTTAAATATACATATATATACACATACACTGATACACACTTAAAAATTATAAATAAATAATATAAAATCAAATGTAGGGCCTAAATAATACATAATATATAAGAGAGAATCAGATAATAAATTATATACATATGAGCAGATAAAATTAAATAACAAAACGAGGGTGATTGTTATTATTAAGGATCAAAACGATATGGTGATGATAGTTCAAGGACCATTTATGCATTTTACTCTTATAAATAACTTAGATTTAACAACATGTACAAATTATACACATGGGAGTTAGAATGATGAGTAGAAAAAGTATAACTCTAATTATAATTCTAGTAGAGTATAACATTCCAAAAGCACTGGATTTCTTGGACCAAAACTACATCTCAACTCTATTTTTTTTTTTACATTCCAAAGCACAAAATGAGCTGCCATAGAACATCCAAGAACTCTGCTATATATGAAACCGAAGCAATTGTCTTGTAGTTCCATGTGAGTTCCTAACAAATCCAATAACGCACTGATTCATTTGTATAACACACACAACAATGAGTAAAAAACACCCCAAAGTGATGTCAGAAACCTTGTATCAACCTTCATTCTTGACTTCATGGTATCCTTCTTTACATATAAAGGATAAAGGCTTCATGTTAAGATGTACAGATCATGTTAAGATCTGTTTCTCCCATTTGACTTTTAACTCAAATAAGTGAGGTGTGTGATTGTGTTGTCTCTTGCACTGTCCATCCAACCCCTTGAGCTAATAAGCCAAATCCCTTGTATGGTGAGTACTACCTAGCATGTGAGAGTGGTTTTTGAGTGGCAGCAGGTTCTTCCTTCTTTCCCAGCTTATATACCAATCACACTGTAAAGCCTGTGAGAACTTTCTTCTTCTTTGTGAAGCTGAGTGAGAGGAGTATAGGAGGGTAAAATAGGTTGTTGCTCCCTTAGCTTAGTGTGCACAAGGAGACTGTCGAAAACCGACTTTCGACAACCTGACCCGAATCCGGCCAACAGAAACGGATCCACAACAAAAGTGTAGTGTGAAGCTTAATGGGTAATTGAAGAGTATTTTTGTTCTTCCGATAATAATATATAGGGATATATTTGTTCATCAATTGAAATGACATGATCACCAATTACAAATATCCCGTTTATATTGACAAAATCACAACTCAAATCAAAATACGGATTATAGAAACCCGAATATCTCATATGAAAGAGGATGAGCAATGTAAAGCTATAATAGTCTCAAAATAGAAGATTGCGATGTTGAAATGTTGTAGTTATTGGTTATAGAGTAAATAAATATTGATGTCTTAATATAATTTGTCGTATCACCATTCATAAGATTATTAGGTGATTATTCTAGTGACATGACAAATTATTTAGAGGAGCATGGTTGAGTGAGAGAGATTATTGGACAAGATTATTTGATAGAATAATTTGAGATTAAAATATGAAACCGAATTATTTTGAATTTATTTATGAAATTAGAGTTAATTAGTTAGTACAGGACCCCATAAAAGATCATATTATTTCGAGATGATGATTGAAGGTAGGGGATGCGATTATTTCTAAAACAATCATGTGACAGATATTAAAAAGTAAGAATCACAAAAATGAGATTATGCTAGAAGCATGAGTGTAGATGCTTCCTTAGTATTAGCATAATTATTTATTATGCTCATCATTTTTAAGAACGCTACTTCCTTAGCGGGCCAATTTTTTAAGCCATTCTTAGTATTGTTTTATTACTTAATAGGGAAAAGAGTCAAATAGGCCCTCGAACTTACATAAAAAGGTCAAATAAGCCCTTATATAAGAGGCTCTGTCCGATCGTCGCCATTTCGGGTAGTTCTCGGTTTGTTTTTTTGATGAATTTTTGTGAGCATCTTATTCATTAATTCTAGTTTACCCATACCAAATTTCAACTAACAATTTAATCAGAAAGACATTTAAATGAATTCTTAAATATAACTGCGCTTTTAAGTCAAAAGAAACAAAGATAACTAAATAAAAAAGAACCGAGGTAGTATTTGTTATTGAGCTTCTTTCATTAAGTTTAAGTATATACGGAGTATATGATTCTCTAAATGATAATTGTCTGCTTGGATCACTTGGGTAAATGACACAATTTTAGCCAATATTGTTGATTCATAAGAGCTAAACAGGTAACTTTCATTTTTTTTGTAAGAGGAATACAAAGCTAAATTTTGGGTGATTTTTAATTGTGAAATCAAACGGAGAAGAAATGATAAGAGTGGAGAAGGGGAAAGAGTAAGAAAGTGACAGAAGGAAAATATATAAGTTGAATTCAGCCTTATAATAGGGAAAAATAAATGAAATTCGCTAAAAAGAAAGATTACACAAGAGAGCCTCCAAAACCGACCGCACAATTATTTAAGAGAATGTAAATTGAGTTTTTATCACACTTTAATGAAAAGAAAGTGAAGTTTCCTCCCAAACCATTGTTTGGAGTTGAACACGGGACTTCTCCCTTGTGCCAACTTCTTTCTAAGAAGTGAGTTACGCCCCCGCTATAAATCAAATACTGTAAACTTTACCAGTATACTATTCATTTCAATATGAAAACTTTTGTTACTCGAATATTACTCTGTTAAGTCATAGTGATACTTGGTTAAAAAAAAGTCAGTTTTACTCCATTCAATACTTAAACTTTTATTACATATAATACTCGTAAGGGAAAGGTGCAAATAAACCCTCGAACTAACCGAAAAAGTGCAAATCACATCTTTTATAGAAGACTCTGTCCGGCCATCGGCATTTAGAAAGGTTCCCGGTGGATTTTTTTGATGAATTTTTTTGAGAATCTTCTTAATTAAGTCTAGTTTACTCATACCAAAATTCAACTAAAAATTCAATTGGGAAGACGGTCAAATGATTTTCTAAAATATATTGCGTTGTTTAACTGCACAGTTATCTTCAAACAATTATTTGTTTGCCTTCCGGATTGCATTTTTAACTGAAATTTGATATGGGTAAACTAAACTTAATGAAGAAGATGCTAAAAAAAAAATCATCAAAAAAATTCACCAAGAACCGCCCCAAATGATGGCGGCCGAACATAATCTCCTGTAAAAGGGGTAATTTGCTTTTTTTTTGGTTAGTTCTAGTGCTTATTTGTCACTTTTCCCTACTCGAAATTTCCCATATAAATGATTATTGTCAACTCAAAGCAACGACCATTTCCATTTTCCATATATGGGTGGTGCTGTACTGCTGTATGCCTATGTCTCCAAAATCACCTAATCCTCTCAAATCGAATATATTCGTCGTTTAATTAATTTCCCAAAACAACTAAAATTAAAGAATAATCCACTTGCCATAATAATTACAGACGACTCTTGCTTTGTACTCATCTTACAAGCTACCCAACAAGGGGATACCGAATATAATACTTTTTTAGAATTAATATAATACTGATAAACAGATAAAGAAAGGGTTAATCCTTTTTTTTTAATTTAATAGGACAAACTAAGCATCATAAATCACTGTCTCAATAAACTCTGAAACTCTCAGAATTGAAGACATAAATCTTTTTGTTAGGGAAATGGAAGCCATTGATGAACTTTGTATGAAGAAAGTGCCCATTCAAAGAGTCACTCTTGCATCCATTGAATCATTGGCCATACCACTTGTAATTAACTTCTTCTTTCTCAGTTTAATGCATCATTTACCTCTCTTTTCATCTCTAAGGCAATTTTTTTTTTTTTCCACAAAGCATATATGTATGTATAAATTTAGTTTTAAATAATGTTTCTTTCTTTGCAAGGATATGATGATTGTGTATATATATTAGGTGCAGGAAGTGGTGTTCTTGGCGGATTACCGGAGCGCTAGGTGCCGGCGGAGGGTCGCGGCGGTTATGTCCAGAATGAACGGTATGTCCCTGACGATTTCTTCATTAGATTTTTCCGGCTGGGATGTTAACCGGTCGGTCGACGTGTTTGACTTACCACCCACAGTCCTCTATTTATTTGACTTGGTAGCATATTAGTGAAAATATGAAATGTTTTTGGTCTAGGTATTACTAAAAATAAGATAAATGATAAAAAAAGTAACATGTTTTTAAAAATTCCGAAAATGTGATTAGGACAGATCTAGGATTTCTGGTCAAGAGGTGCAAAAATTTTTCATGAGTCTAGGGTGTGAACATTTTTTGCTAGTGTAGTGCGGAGAATTTTTTTCCAGTAGTGTAGCGGGGCGATTTTTTTTGCTAGTATAGGGCTTTGCGGCAATTTTTTAATCAATTTTTTTATTAATACATACACGACGACATTTACAACTATTACTCCGTACATTTTTAGTTTAGACAATGGAAAAATAACTTTGATTTTATTTATAATTGAAATGCTCTAAAAAAATATTGATACATTAAATCGTAAGAAATTAAAGCTCAAAGGAAAGTTATTTGAAGATAAAGAGTTTAAAAGGTATAAATCCACCAATACTTTTTAAATAAATTTTGTCTTGTTTGACCCCATGAATCTTTATCAAAATAAAGAATTGATTTTTGAATTACAATTTTGTCTAACAAAGAGGGTGTTTGTGAGTCATGAAGAGTTTTCTTATTATTACAATAGTATGTATGACATTATTATTTTTAGAATAATATTATATTGCTGATTCATATATATGATGCATATTATATTTGCATTAATGCTAAAATAAGTTAAAATCAACAAAAATTTATATTTTGGATTCATATCTATGCAATTATGAGTTTGTAGAACGTAACAAGTAAATGAATTGTGTAATTTAATGTCAACAAAATTTTATATTTTGGATTCATCTCACATAATCTAAAAACTATTTAAGTAGTGTGTCTAGTAGTTAATATCATTTGATATTTTACAAAATCGAGTATTAATTATCTAATAAAGATAACTAAACATTACAAAACTAGGAATTTTTATATAATAAATATCCCAAGTCTTAAACAATGATCAGAGTTGTTCTATTATATTGTTTATTTGTTTAAGTATGTAAATTATTTTAGTCATTTCTTCTTTTAAATCTCCAATTAAGTTTTACATTATATAAGACTATATATTAATTTTGAAAACTAAAAGTTAAGGGGGGCGAATACATATACTTCCTCCGTCTCTTTTTAGTTGCAACAGTCAAGATTTCACGTTTGCCAACGCACTACTTTGACCGTCATTATATTTAATTCTGTATTAGTAAAAATAAAATAAAAATCAGATTATAAAACTTAGTAATGAGATGAATTTAACAATATTTTTCAAAAAAACAAAAAATTCACATAGATTAATAAATAAAATGTAGTCAAAGTAAAGTACATGAATAGTGTATATATTCCAATGTTGCAATTAATGTGATACGGAGGATAGTATATTTAATTAAAGGTTGAAAAATTTTATGAAAATAATACATATATAATGGAAAATTTAAAAGTCTAATGGAGACGGTCCCCCCCCCCCCTCCCAAATCCATCCCTAATGTGCTTCCCCCAAAGTGACCTCGGTCAAAGCGACTCTGACGTCATAGTAACTGCCTCATCGGCCACAATGACTGCCCCACCGGCCATAGTGACTACCCCACCAGATCACAGTGACTGCCCGTCCACCGCCACAGTGACACGCCGCTCACCGGCCACTCACCATATAATATGTTAATATTAAGTATTTTTCGTCTGGGACCTCCAGAGTTCTAAAGACGCCTTTGACACACATGACGATGTTTGTAACCATTTTAATGGTTTTATATATTTGTAGGAGAAACGGATTCAGTGATGATTAGTGTGCTGGAAAAGAAGATTAGTATAACTTGCAAAGTATCAAGGGCAAAAAACACTTCGGGCCAACAATCGTCGATGTCCAACGCTCTTAACAAATTTACTTCCATTTTCGTCACTCTCTTTCTCCCTTCACATTCTTAACAAATTTACTTCAATTGTTAATCCATTCCCCAAAATCCAACATGCCCCACTTCACATTCTTCAATAGCTAGTGCCCTTCGAACAAAATAAACCAAACTAACTCTTTTTTTCTAATTATTATTGCAATCAAAATTATTTTGATATTGTTAAATATGTCTATATAGTGTTTTATCTTGTGCATTTGGACATTTCTAAGGTTTAGGTCTAAATATGAAGGTAAATCATATATTTTTCACAATAAAATGGTTAATCTTTTGTAAAGTTTCACTATTAGTAAGTACAATGAAACAGCTAAATGATCAAAGGGACAAGAAGTCTAGATTTGTATACTAAAAGGATAAAATAAAAAATTTAAAGCTAAAATGGATATTGGTTTTCTCTAGAGAAAAGTAGATAGAAGGTATTTGTGGTTGAACTCGTTTTCAAATTGGGGCACGTGTTTTATTTCTCACTTAAGTAGTCAATGTATTTTGATTCCATTATCACTTAAGGGGTCCGACACCTAACATCGTTAGGAATCGCCAGAGGAAGGCGATGAATAGTAACTTCAGTTTTCAAAAGTGTCACGCCCCGGACCTAGCCGGACACGTCAACAACCCGCCTTACAGTAGGAATAGTCAACCCCAGTTCAACTCATCCATACTATACAAGGCGTCCTGAATATCATTCACACATAGTACATCCATAAACAAACATAATGTAAAATATTCATTTAAAGCAGCGGAAACAATATTACAAGTGTTCAAGCCACACCTGGCATCATTAGGCATACAAGCCCCCAAATAATTATTCAGAAAATAATATCCATGAGCATGATTAAAATTTGTTTTTGAAACAGAAACGGAGGAAGCACGAACCACGTCTTCTCTCCTAGATCTTCCCGAAGCGACGGGCACTGGTAGCAAGCTCAACTCCTACCTGAAACTGTGAGGTGGCCTCCCCCGTGAAGGGGAGGTCAGTACTTGGAAGCATTTGACAAGTACAATGACAAGTATACTAAGTATAATCAATGTTTCAATCTCTAAGACCCTCAATCTAGGGTGGTATCATATTATAGGCCATAACCCTCAGTTACCCTTTTTTTTTTTAAAATGTACTTACTTTATATAGAGTCAAGTAGTCGGTCCGTGGCCCATATTCGTTTTTGATTCGCCCATCCCCATTCCCCTGTGACTACTAGTCACGATTGTTATAACCTTCGGTAAATTATATTACCGTCATGGGGCATTTCTTAATTACATTATTTAGCCATCATGGAGCCTCGCTCAATCTTATTATCATACCGTGCTAGAGCCTCGCTCTTAGCCATCTACATTTATGCTAGAGCCTCGCTCTTAGTCACCTACATTAGGCTAGAGCCCCGCTCTTAGTCAACCTAACTTCATACTAGAGCCTCGCTCTTAGTCATCTACATCTGGCTAGAGCCTCGCTCTTAGTCAATCTACATTTATGCTAGAGCCTCGCTCTTAGTCATCTACATCTGGCTAGAGCCTCGCTCTTAGTCAATCTACATTTATGCTAGAGCCTCGCTCTTAGTCGATCTACATTTGTTAGAGCCTCGCTCTTAGTCAAGTTATTCGATTCCTAAGCCAATTCTATGCCTAGAATCATTTTACCTTGAGTAGCCTTTAAGGCCTACTCCTAACATATCTTAGAGCTCATACATTCCGACCCTTAAGTATCTCTTAGGACTACTTAAGGCATCTCTATTCACAATCCTATCTCTTAGGATTAATTTCATCATTTATTTATCTCAATCTCCCGACTAGTATTTCAATACTAGTCGGATAATCTTAGAACAACCAAGTTCTTAATTCATAACCAACATTTCATTCCAATTGATTTTCCAATCCAAATACAATTTAATCTCAATATCAAGAACATCACTTTTATCCATTCATGAATTCTATACATGAAGTAAAAGTATATTTTATCACAATATTTTCATAGTTAACTCCATTATCATGCCATCACTTTCATATCACATAATCATACACAATTTCTCCCAAATTTGTATATCATGCTTCGTTTACTCATAAACAATAGTATTTTCATTTAGGCATTATTAATCATTAATAATCCATGAAAATCACATTTAACAACTTTAGGTAATCTTATGAAATTAACTCACTAATTATAAACAATATAGTCAGTCATCCTCACCTTATGATGTGCTCAACTAGCTGCCCTAGCAAAGCCCCTCGATCCGTCCTCGTTCTAGGCCGATCGGAGATGAAGAATCTGGACAGCAGGTGAAAGCCGGGCGGCTTTCACGAAAGCCGGGCGGCTTTCGGGCTCTGCTACATGAGACAGCCTCTTTTACTTGGCGGTTTCCGGCGATTTCAACTCCTATCGATTCAACGATTCTTCTAGGTTAAATATCAACACTTTATATCATTTTTCTACACATTTAAACGTCTAGAACATCCCCTAGAATCCATCATATGATTTCTATAAAATCATATACGAAAAATATATTAAACGCAAGAACAAGAACCGGGGCTATGAAATTCTTACCGCTAGGCTTTGTTTTCTAACGGATTCGCTTCTCTTCTTGGCCTCCCTTTCTCCCTGAGCTCTGGCTTGGTATGGAGCTCTCTAAGGAACTCTTCAATCTACCGTATAGCCTCTCAAATGAGAGGATAAGAGACCCCCCCTCCCTTATCTTTCTATTTTTAGAAAGTTGGGCCAATTTAGTTGGGTCGGGTTCGCGGGCTGCTCTTTTTAATTTACTCCGACCCAAATGAATTTTATTCGTTTACTTATATTATTTTAGGCTAGTAGACCTCAATAGATCGATCCTAAAATGTGTTGGATATCCCTCCCCAATGTTACGGGCTTAAACCCCTTTACCTTTCTATTATTAGAAAGTGGCTCGAAAAGTCTCTTTATTTTATTCCTTCACCTTTTTCCCGGCCCAAACATTTGTATATAACTTATTTCCTTATCCTTGGGCTTTTAACTAATTTTAACGTGGTCCAAGAATATACTAGTTAGTCCCTTCCCGTTTTCTTTAGGGTCCGACACACAATATAATTAATCGGTATTAATTTAATCAATTAATCATTTCTCATATGATTAATATTTTTGTAACTAGTTTTCAAAATGAATAAATATTCACGAACTCAACTAGTCATCCTCATCGACATTGGTATTTGTAATTTCTATTAAATTTTAATATTAATGGATAAATTAATCCCAGTTCAAATTGGGAGCGGTGTCACAAAAAGTGTCTGAAAAATTAAAAGAAAAACGTTTAAATGTGCACCTTATCAAATCATCTTCCTTTTTGAAATTTTTGGCTCTTTTTGGATAATTTTTTAAAATATAATTTACTAATATCACTTTTTCAATGGAATTCGGGCGATAAGGGTGGTTGAAAATAATGACTTGGAGTTTTCCTTGACGAGATGCATCTCCCAATATTCTTCTTTTGATTTTCCAAATATTTTTGAAAATCGGAGTTACTGTTCATCGTCTTTATTCAGTAATTTCTCATAGCAATAGGCGCTAGACCACTCCATTGATAATGCAATTAAAACACATAAAATACTTTGGCATGAAATGAAACATAGACCTCTATCCGAAAACTCGTCCAACCACATGTACTTTTTTTTTGTACTTTTCCCTTTTCTATATTGAGACAATACATAAACTTCTGATCCACATTATATCCATCCCACCATCACAAATTAGTCGATAAGATAAACAAGTGTACCAGTTAATGTATTAAGGTGTTTTGTGTTCACTTTAATCTTTCTATTTATAAATGTACTATGGGGAAACATTTAATTTATTAAAACTTGGATAAGGGTCACAAGCACGGATTCACAATTAAAAGCTAAAAAGTGTGACATAGAACTAAAAGCTCTAAAAGAAACAAACAAATGTGAAATAAAAGTTTCAAAAGAACATCCAATAGTGGAATAATTAAAAAATAATAATTGTTCCAAATTATTAAAAAATAATAATTGACTAGCCACAAACCCAAAACATTTAAACATAGCCATTCATTCTTTCTTAGACGTATGATTCTTGGTATCTCTTATTTGACTAGGCATAAACAAGAATCCTCTACGAGTCCTGACTAGGTATAGAATAGGAAATCTCACGCTTCACCATTACCTCATGTCCATTGTGAGGGCCTCCAATTTCTCTTGGAAATATTTACTACCTCGTCTCCCTAATATTGGGACGGAAGAAAAACTACTAGAAAACGCACGTTTTGCAACGGAACCGTGCAGCAGACTTGTACTTGTTGCAAGAATGCAATTAAATTTGCAACGAAATATGACGTAGTTGCAATATAGCAATGAATATTGCAACAAAAAATAAATTCACTGCAAATGTGGCCGAGAAAGGGAGGGAAAATATGTTACAACAGTTTTTTGCAATAGAAAAATAATACTCTTGCAATAATTGCAAGATAAATTGCAATGCCATATCACTTTGTTGCTAGTTATAGATTTACAATGGACAAATCGATCATTGAAAGTACTCCCTTGCAACGAGTTTGTACCGCAGCGGCAATTTCCAATGGTGTTCATTCTGTTGCAATTTTTTTTGAAAATATATTAAATTCTTTTTTGTTTTTAAATTTGAACTTTATTGGTTGTATTGGTTGAAGTTACTGTAGAGGATCATTTTAAAAAAAATCATTTTATTAAGAAAAAATTCATTATAATTAGTTTTAAAACGTGGTGGACAAAAGTATGACTTAGTAATTATTTGTGACTATAATCGTGTTCATTTAAAGTCATTAATAGTTACTCCCTCCGTCCCGGAAAATTCTTCCCACTTTGACTTGGATCGGAGTTTAATGCAAAACTTTTGGAATTTCAAAACTTTTTACTCCTATTAGAGAATTCTCTCATTTTTTACTCCTATTAGAGAATTGGCTCACCCCAATAAAAATATGATAGTCGTATTTTAGAATTTCAAAACTTTTTACTCCTATTAAAGAATTCTCTCCTTTTTTAACATTTTCCTAACGCTCCCTTAGACGGTTGTTAACCGCGATATATGAAAGGTTAGAAAAATGAACACATAGTTTATACGAGTGATTAGTCAAAAGTATCCATGGATTGATTTGTTGGTTTGACCGTAAACATTGTTTTGTAGTGGCCGAGGGCTCCTAATACCTGTAGTGCGTAGTTGGAACAAAAAGTAGAGTACACACTCAATGTCATTTTTAATAGGGCAGAGCACGGTCAGGTTCGGACGGGTCGGGTTCAAAATTTGTAAACCCATTCAGTTATGGGATTGATAATTTCAAACCATATCCTATCAAAAAAAATATCAGGTTTTTCGGGTTGAAGAAGTTCGGGTTGCGGTCGGGTTGATTCTGTTTTCGGGTCCATTCAGATTTTAATTTATTATTATTGTTGAAATTGTGATAAATAAAATGGTAATTGGTAAAAATATCATTCAAAGTTATACTAGTATAACATTCAAAGTAATAGTTGTATAATTATGGTAATCGACATATTTGAACATGTAAAATAATAATATACGATGATTGGCATATTTGATATGATAAATAAAATGATAATTGGTCAAAATATCATTCAAAGTCATAACAATACAACATTCAAAGTTATAGTTGTACAAATACGATAATTGGAATATTTGAACATGCATAATATTGTAATTGACATACAATAATTGAGATAATTGAACATGCATAATAATTCAAAATAGTATACGGAGTATATACTACGCTAGTTCGGGTAGTCGGGCGGGTCAGGTAGCCTAATTTATAACCCTACCCGCTTAAGTCACGGGCTGCAAGAATCGGTTCGGGTTAGGATATTTCGGGTCGGGTTTTCCAATCCAAACAAAAATTTCGGATACATTCGATCGGGTCAATCGGGTAGGGTCAGGTTTACTCTCCCCTAATTTTTAGTGGACTTAATTTGTTGATTTAAAGACTTCTAATTTAGGGATCAGAATTAGCAATCAACAACCAGGGGAGTAATATCTTGTGTACTTTTTTTTGAAAGAATAACACTTATTTATTAGAGTTTTTTTCTAAAATAATGCAAAATAAAAAAATATTTATGAAATTAGAGTTGAGTTAAAACTATTTACCAAAATACTGTTGAGTTTTACTGTCGAGAAAGTCGGCAAATGGTTTGTGGAGGCCATGAATTAAAATTACATTTTTTCTTTAAAGCTTTATAACTTTTTACTTTTTGCTCCAATTTTTATAAAAAATATATCAAAATTCATAACTTTTCATTATCGTTCATATGACACCAATATTGAATATGTAAATTTAAAAAACAAATTGAAGCCTTGTTAAACGTTTTTTTAGCGGATAGATATCACAAGGTTTCGACTGCCTTGGAATCCTGGCATTGTGGAATTATAGCAGGAAGTGGTCAAGAAGTTGAAGTTGATCGTTGGAGGTAGGGGTGGACTCGGGTCCGGGTTGGGCCTAGGCCCGGGCGGGCCGGCGGTTCAGGAATGGTGGACCCAGGACCGGCCCGGGTAGCCACCGGGTCCGGTCCGGGTCCGGGCCGGGCCGGGCCTTCGGTTTGGATTTTTTTTTTTGTTTCCTACCTACCCCCCCCCTTACCCCCACCCTCCCAAACCCCCTCAAACCCATCCTACCCATCAAGCCCAATCCGGGTGGAACCCCAAAAATGAAAAAAAAAATTAAAAAAAAAAAATCAATTTGGCCCGGGCCCGACCCGGCCGGGCCGGTTCACCAAATTTGAGACCCGAGCCCAGACCCGCCCTACCCCCCGGGCCTAGGCCCGACCCGGACCCGGACCCAAGAAACGGGTCGGTCCCGGTCCCGCACAGTAGCGGGCCGGTCCCGGTCCCGCACAGTAGCGGGCCGGGTGGCCCGACCTGAGTCCAACCATAGTTGGAGGAGGGAACCTTGAGATCAAGTAGCTTGACGATATCGAAATAATTCCTATTATATGAAGAAACTAAAGATATGGGATGAAGATGTGACTTGATAAGTTTTATAAACTACAGTTATGTTCAAATTTTATATTAGTGTGACTATAAATGTGTACTCATAATAAATTTAGAGTCTGTTTGATGACCATATCTTTCGACTTATCAGACTTACTAGTTAATTTTTTATGAAACATGTAATTATTGATTTCACGCATTGAATTGTGTAAAAATTAAAAAAAAAAGTAAAATTGTAGTTACTTTTCTAGTTGAATATTTGAATTTACTATACATGGCCATTTTAGTTATTTCTCATATAATTTTTTATTTATATTTAATTTTTTTGTCTGATTCCGCTGAATTATTAAAAAGTCATCTAAAATATATTTTATTAAGCCAAAAAATTAATAAAGTTATTCAAAAGTTCATCAATTAGAAAAATTTATATGAAAGTAACTAAAATGGTCATCTAAAGTAAATTCAAGAATTCAGTCAGAAGAGTAATTACAATTACCTTGTGATATCTATCCGCTAAAAAATCGTTTAACAAGGTTTCATTTTTTTTTAAATTTACATATTCAATATTGGTGTCATATGAAAGATAATGAAAAGTTATGAATTTTGATATATGTTTTATAAAAATTGGAGCAAAAAATAAAAAGTTATAAAGTTTTAAAGAAAAAATGTGATTTTTAATTCATGACCCCCATAAAAGTTCTCTCCCTTCTCTTGCGGCTTTGCGGCTGGCTTGTTCACTTATTACATAGAAATGCCAAACTATTTGGCCACTTTCTCCAACCCCGGTTAAACCCAACAATATTTTGATAAATACTTTTAACTCAATTCTAATTTCGTAAATTTTTTTTTTATTTTCCATTATTTTAGAAAAAAAAACTCTATTTATTACGTAATAATAATGAAAGTGACAAGGAACAAAACAAACCTAACAGCTCAGAGCTACCCTGAGGTGAGACATAGAATTGATTAGTCCATGAGGACCCGACAAGTTCGTTACCCAACATGGTAGGATAATCTAGCAGGATCGCTGCACTTGCTACTAAAATAAGTAGATAAAAGACTAGTGTTATTAAACTGAAAAGAACAAATATAATCATAACTCCTGGTTTTACCAGTCATCATCAAGGGAAAAGAGGTTTGATCTGACACCTCCAAAGACGTCATACTGATTTGACAGTCATCGGGAAAGGAGAAGAGGTTTGTCCAGTCACCTAATGGAATTCAAGGCGATGATGATTCAATAGCACCGCCGCAGAGTCATTTTATTGTCCATCTCCATCAACCTCGCCATCCTCCCCTACCGAGTCTGCTGCCAGCCTGCCACTACTAAACCAATGTTTTCTTCCTCAACAATGGTGATTTTATTGTAAGTCTTAACAAGCACATCCATAGTGAGACCCAAACTCAAAACAAAGGTCAGATAGCCAAAAGCAGAAACAACACGATGAAACAAACCGCGACCACTTCACCACAACAAAAGATCGGAATCACAACTCTCTAAACCTCTATCAAGAACCAAAGCAGAACAGCACCCTTGGACTGAAAAAACTAGCAAGGAAACAAAAGATCCGTTCACAAAGATAACTCAGCAACAAGAAGTGCCGGACCAAAGTTGGGTACACGAAACGACCCGTACAACAACAAATGCCTCCCCTTCACCACAAACGATCGATCTATTGGAGATCGACGCTTTCCCTGCTTGCCGCCACTAGGATTCCATGGTTGCTCTCTCTAGTCCATGGCCTACTTCGAACAAAACTCTGCCACTAGGATTCCATGGTTGCTCTCCCAGACGCCTTCAATCGAAATCGAACACCTTCGGTCAATGGCAGCTCTATTAGGGTTCACGCATAGCTTTGCACATTACTTTTATCAATCTATATCTTGTGTATTTTACACTGTAATTGTATAAACGAACAGAACGTTTATTGAAAAGGTTTCTTTTGCTTCTTGAAAAGCATTTGAATAAACAGAATTTTTATTAAACAGATAGTACTTCAATAATAAAAATACTACTGTATATATTTTTTCCAGGAGTATGTACTATACTGTTTCATATTTCCAAAACAATACTAATTATGATATTAATATTGTCATATCAATGTATTGTAGTGTCTAAATATAACAACATAATTTCATGGCAGTAGTTTACAGTAATTATACTGTTTACTCATGTTCAGGGAGAAATATCATCCTTTTGGAATATCCCTGTTTTATTTTGGGATATTTCCCTTGAAATTTTGGGTTAACTAATTAAACCAAAAAATGTTTTGTTCATTTACGTTCGTGAACTGTGCATAAGTAGGTTCCTTCATCTGTCAACGATTTATAAGGTTAGAATAAAATACGATTATAAGCAAAACGATTTTACTACATTGTGAAAACTGAAAACTATAAATCACAAAAGGGAACATAAGTCACGATCACAGTAATGTATATCAACATCCTCTTCCTAGAGGTGCTGCTGACCTCACTAATACAGAAAGCAACACTAATGCATTTAATTATTCACATCTGAAGTTTCTATATCGAAGACTTATTGCAAATCATAATGACACAATACAAATTTCAATTTATTGAGCCACAAGTACCTTTGAAGGTAAAAATAGATACTTATTTAGTACACACGTGCCTTGGGTGGGAACGACTCGACTTCGTCATCCAGTGTATTCATGTGAACTGGCCTGTAGTCCACCTTTACTTTCTCATTTTCCCAGTACCTACATTTATTAATACACAAGATCAGAAAAGAGAATTTGTGACAAATGCTAGTTGGAATATACCACGTATTTGATTAAGGACAACAATAGCTTGGTGGCTAGCCCGTTCATACTACTTTTCAAAAGAAGAGTTTGTAAAGTCTTCCGATGCCATGTAAAGAAAATCTCACATGAAAGAAGCAGTAAGAGCATGTCCGGTAGGTGCTTATCAGCCTTACTAATATTATTCGGGGTTAATGTGTTAACCCTGGTAATATAAAACTATGTGCATTAGCCCCCCGATGTTCAACAAATGTATCAAAACTCTTTGTGTTATGAATCATGCACGTAACACCCTGGAGTGACAAATTTCTCTATTACGTCACGTAAAACACATCCATTTGTTATGAGAAAAAAAGAGTATTGTGTTTTCCCCCACTAAAATATGAGTAAACATTGTCATCCAGATATCACTGTCTTATTATGACATTAGTACTGCTATAACATGGAAGCATGAAATTTCAAAATGACAATACTTTACTCATATTTAGGAAAACCATCTTTTTTTACTCCAATCTTGAGAAAATCCCCTTGTTATTATATTATAATTATAATTATAATATATTTTAAGTATACAAACAACTTTACATGCATTATTAATCACAAAATCGAAGACTTATGCCTTCCTGACAGTTGATGGGTTGTTCCAGGATATTACATGCATTATTATTAATAACACATGGAGTTTTGACACATTTTTAAATCATGAGAGGGGCTTGTACATCTTAAACCCATATTATGTGTCACAAGGACTATGCAACCTAGTGGTAAAGAGTTTAACCTAAAGGAAATAACGAAGCAAATCAAGTTGAGACACATACCCTAATGTGTGTTTCATCCATTTCTCGTCATCTCTTTTCTGCAAAGCCAAAAGGGTAAATGAAATTACTAAAGTTCCAGAGTGGAAAAAGTAAGATATTTTCACGAGAGTCAGGAACTAACTGTATAATCTTCACGGGCATGTGCGCCTCTGCTCTCTTTTCTAGCCTCAGCAGAGTGCATTGTGATACAAGCATTAATCAACAGGTTTTCCAACTCAATCGTCTCTATAAGGTCTGAATTCCTGAGAAGGGAGAGCACATGGGAAAACAAGGAAGGAAGATAGATAGATGAAAAGGGAAACTTCAGGATAATGATATAAAAGCAAGGAAAAAGATCTAAACAAGTTTACCATATCAAACTGCGATCCTTCAGCTGCACCTCATGGAAGCTCTCCCATGCCTTATCAATTAGCTGACAACCTAGTTGAAGCGTAAATAAATGGGTCAAGTGATTTTAAATTAATACTTCATAAGCAGAATTGATGCCAGCTAAACATTATCTGAGATAGCATACCAGTAAGGTTCTGTATAGAACCTGGAAATTCTATGGAAAGAAAACAGAGAGGAAAGTAAAGGGGAAACTTTCAAGGAAATAAAATTCAGGGAAATACAAAAAGTTGGTTCAGGCTTGGCTAATTAATTTTAGATATTTGGGGAAACAAATTTTATTTAATTATTTATTTATACATATTACTCCATATATGACATGATTTTCAACATTGATATCGGTCCATAATTAAAAAGTGAATATTTTATTGAATTTAGTAAAAATATACCACAAAATTTAGATTCTGTACAAAAACTTCGATTCTTAAGTTCAACATTAAGTTCTGATAAATTGACATAATAATTACCAAAGAACTACTAACAAAATAAAAAGTAAATAGCTAAGTATCCTATTAAGATATAATCATCATAAGCATCATTACCCTAGTGCCGCCCTGTTAAGATATAATAAAATTTCAAAATTACTTGATGCCATACTATTAATTGTAAATTCATCATTGAAGAATCGGTCATCATCATCATCATTACCCTAGTGCCGCAAAAGCTTCCCACCTTTGGTGGGGTAGGGGGTCGGATGTACATGAAAATTGGACTATTTAGACTATTTCCTAATGACCCATAGTGAAAATCACGTCAAAAAATTACATGGACTGACTGTTGCTTCATAACAAAGAAGCACAGACAATTTAGTGAACCATTTTGCTTTATTCCATCATATTCTCAAGCCAAAAGTAGTGAGGGTTTGGCTCCGTTACAAAGGATGGAGCCAAAGAATCAGTAGGTCTAAATATTTATGTTTTTGTATTTTATAATGGTTAAACTCCCTATCGCAGTATGCTAGGTTGAAAAACAGAAATATCAGAGAAATATCTATCAGTATTAAAGATATTATCATCCTTGTTCCCTTCAAATTCCTAAATCCGAGACATATCTAACCAAACAGAGAAAATAAAAGAAAAACCCTAATACCAACCTTCCTCTAAAGTCTCTTGTGTGCGGAAAACAGCTGCATTGTTTTGCATTATTCTTTGCATATTCAAACGAATCTTTGAAGTGGGCAATGAACCATTTGAATTTCTGAGTTTGTCTAACCATGCAATAGTCTTTTCTCCAGCATCCTTCTCCAAAGGCTTTTGTACCTCTCCTGTAGGGGTCAAAACCCAGGGCATCTCATACATACATGAATGTCATAAATAGGAATAATTTAGTGAACCAATGGATTTTTTAACTTACCTGGCCTTTGAATTTCTGCAACCCTATTTGCACATGCACGGCCAAAAACAACAATGTCAAGAAGAGAATTCGCTCCAAGCCTATTAGCACCATGAACTGATGCACAGGAAGCTTCCCCTGCAGCCATCAGACCAGGAACTACAGCATCCGGATCATTACCTTTGATGGTCACCACCTGCAAAGAGACAAATTACTATTGAAGGAAAGAAAAATATTTTCCTTTCAAATAATACGTACCGACTCTGAAAGATGAAAAGAAGAACACTTGGGCTATGTTTGGATCTGATGATATTCTAGGGAAATTGATGAAAATGTCAAGTGAAATAAGATTAATATCTTTAAAAAGATTACACATACTTAGATTTTAGAGTGCTTAACATGTATATAAAGTGATAGGGAAGGGTAAGAAAATGGTAAAAGAAATGTTATTTTCTTATGTACACATCTACAGATCTACTTCATCACATTCGGTCCGAATTAGACCAGGAATAATAAGACTCAACCAAACAAAACATATTATTTTTCAAACAAGAAAATGAGATAAAATGAGAAGTATTCCGACCAGACTCCACCTGAAACTGTCAAATCAGAAGATGGAAAGATTCATATCAGCCAAGATCCTAAAAGAAAGAATCAAAATCATATTTTTTTAGATGAAGTGAGTAAGCCCTTAGTCTATCTTGAATTCTTGATAAATAGAGTGTTTTCAAAAACAAATCCAAGGTAAATGAAATGTTATGCGATCGCGTATTATGTTTTTAATAGAGTCTCAAATATAAATCAAGATATAGACAAACCCTCCATTCAAACAGACTCTTACAAAAAAAGGAGAACATCTTGCTTGTAGATAATATCTACCAACTGCAAAAGAAGAAAACAAGAATACTTGTACTGATCAAATTATATACCTCTCCATAGTAATTTGTTGGAATCCCACCCATATTATAATGCACAGTAGGTAAGACAGGGATTGGCTCTTTCGTGACATCTACACCAGCAAAAATGGCAGCAGTTTCAGAGATACCAGGAAGTCTTTCTTTAAGAACTTCGGGAGGTAAATGGTTCAAGTGGAGGTATATGTGATCCTTCAGTGGTCCTGTTTATAAAATTAGAGATAAACAGATAAGAACATGTATCAGATCTATCAAACTTTTTCCTTTCAAAAGAAAGAGTATACACATAAGAACATAATTTTGACATCTAAAATTACAATTCAATATAGGACCATCTACAATAAAAAATGTAGGAATGAGGAAAAAAATTACCCTTAAACTATATGTCAGATAACATGTATACCCCTCAATTTTTTTGAACAACTAAACAAAAAAAGTGTTAATTTAGAACAAATGTACTTTTGAACTATACTTTAGATAACATATATACCTTCAACTATTGCTCATATAGCGTATACATGTTCTCGAATATATTGCTCAAGGTTATATTTGTTCCAAGTTCCAACTTTACTTTTTTGTTTATTGTTCCAATAGAAAGTTGGGGGGTATATTTGATTGACGACATAGAGTTAAGGGGCATGTTTGTTCATTCTCCCTAAAAAGTAAGTGTCACCTTTTTATTGATTAGAATAGAGAAAGAAACAAGTTAATAATGAATATTCAACAAGCCGTAATGAAATGTAATGGAACCAATACATAGACATTCTTATTGAATTGCTTGACTGATTGATTACATTATATTGCATTATACCAATAGTATTGCTCAAGTCCAGTATAATTAAATTAAGTTTATACCAACTCCGCGCCCTTCTCGAATTTCCATGGTCATAGATCTTGAAACAACATCCCTAGATGCAAGATCCTTGGCTGTTGGTGCATAGCGTTCCATAAAGCGCTCACCTTCACCATTCCTAAGAATGCCACCTTCACCACGAGATCCTGAAGGTATACAAAGTATTGCGTACGAATATTTTAAAAGTTACTTCGTAGTTAAGTTAAAGAAGTGTGACAGAAAATTGCATGATGGAAACTGAATAATCACTCATGTGAACAATGACCATGACATGTACAAGAATCAAACCTTCAGTAATGAGACAACCAGCTCCATATATACCAGTTGGATGGAATTGCACAAACTCAAGATCCTGCAAGGAGAAAAGGAGTAACCAAGCATTCAAGCAATGTATGATGGAAGTATGGTAAAAGGGTTCACGAAAATTGTCAGATTTCCTATTGACAAACCTGGAGAGGAAGACCAGCACGTGCAACCATAGCATTTCCATCTCCTGTGCAAGTATGAGCAGACGTTGCAGAAAAATATGCTCTTCCATATCCCTGATAAAAAGACATTAGATTATAAAATTAGTGAAATAAAAGCAAATAAATAAAACAAATGGACCATAAGTGCCATCTTGTATAGGTACCCCAGTAGCCAAAATTGTGGAAGCAGCTCGGAAGCGGTGTAAGGTACCATCCTCCATATTTAGTGCAATTACACCTTGGCAGCTCCCTATGCCAAGAGTCATGACCAATTACATTACAAATATATAAACTTGTACATATTATGGAGTGCATACAAGCGAAACATGAAAAAAGTTTTACAAACAATTATACTCGCCAAGAAGCCAACTACCAGGAGACCCAAATAAGTGTTCTTAATAGCATGAGACACAATTTACATTGTACATAACTCATACAACATAATAGGGAAAACCAGAATACAAAAATCCCTAAGATAATGCAACCAACGCACCATCATTGTTCATTAGTAAATCCAAAGCAAAATATTCCACAAAGAACTGTGTATTATGCTTCATGGCCTGGCCATAGAGAGTGTGCAACAATGCATGTCCAGTTCGATCAGCAGCACAAGCACAACGATATGCTTGTCCACCTGAGATGATTAAGCACAGAGTCAGATAAAGTAGAGCTTATGGAATGCATTGTCAGAAGCTTAAGTTATCACCTTTTCCAAAATTTAGGCTTTGCCCACCAAATGCCCGCTGATATATTTTTCCATCTTCTGTACGAGAGAATGGTAGCCCGTAGTTCTCTAGCTCTATAACTACTTTTGGAGCTTCTCTACACATGTACTGAATAGCATCCTGATCACCTGGAAAATTACTAGACATCTCTTACAAACAACATATAGGCGGCCACAACGCTCATACCTTAATGAAAGTGTGTTTTCAGAACTCTTAGTAATGTACAGATGAAGAAAATTTGTTGAAAGATACATTTCAAACTGTTGTTGGAGGGAGAAGAAAGTACAAGTTCCAAAAAAGTGAAATTGATCTAATTTAACCATGACTATACCTAGCCAGTCGCTTCCTTTAACAGTATCATACATGTGCCACCTCCAATCATCCTCAGTCATGTTTCCTAACGCAGCATTTATACCACCCTACAGATGAATTTCAAGGGTGTGAGGTTACTCCAGCGCATGGTCTAATCAATGAGGTCAGGAAATGACCTAGTACAGCTCAGCAAGTGAACCCAATGCTATGCAGACATGTAGTCCAGAATACAGATCAAACAAAAGAATTTGGAATACAGGCTTCAAGATTTTATAATTTCCATTTTTACTTCTCTATTACGGAGTATAAGTTAGTAACATGTATTATTGTTCATTCCAAGCATGAAGTTATTATGAAAACGCAAGAATTTGAATTATTTTAATCTGGAGATAGCAGGGGAGAACTTATTTACTTGTTCATCAAAACTTAAAGAACATTCAAGCCTAAATGCTCCAAATAATACTCCATAACTAATTATGTAAAATAGATTTTAACCTTTAAATTCCAAACATGGAAAATGATAATGTTTTATAATCTGCATATATGATAAGAAAAGACATCCTAATTATGATTAGTTTAAAAACTTATTGACCAAAGCAAAAAACTCAAAGGTTCAAAAAAACAATAGTATGATGTACTTAGAAATTAAATGAGAATGCACTCCCTAATATTTTAGAGATACTGTATATGCAATTTTAACATTGAAGATAATATAACTAATCTCAAGAAAGTCTCATAAAGTTTTCCCATTTTCTCCAAATCATGTGCCCAAGACATTTTATATAGAAAAAGCATCACACTTTAAGCAATAACTAGGTAACTCCTACAAGTTAGTGTGCTAAATTATTCATTACCCTTCAGAGCTTTGTGTAGTTTGAGATAAGTGAAATGAATAATATATTGTGTAGTTAACTTTCATTGATCGTAAGTTCGTAACTACTCATGCAATAAGAGACCATGTCCAGAAGTAATGTAAAGACTGAGAAGACCTTGAATAACTATATATCAATAGATGTGCAGCAAACACAGAAAATACAGGTTCACCATTCAAACTCTTGAATGGTGGTCACTGCAAAATCTGGGATCTTCTCAAAGGCATATTCAAAATGTGAGAAGATTTAATTAATTAATGCGACTTTAAGATCGTGTTCCCCCCTGTAGACTCTGAAGATTGATGAATCAAGCAGAAAAAAATCAGGTGTGTTCTGATTAATGTCGACAGGGTTGGAGAGGTGAACAAATGCAACAAGTTCTACATCACTTCGATGCTGAGACAGGTTTATGTCCTGATTTTCTAATTCATCGGCTACTTGTGTAGTTGTGTATGTGAACCCACACTTTTGATGAGATTTCTCTTTTGTGTAAGTGAAAAGCTTCCAGTTAGAATTCAAGGCCTATGGATTGAACAAGATTATTATATCTTGGACCTAGGAGGAACGGATTTGGTGTTGGGTATGGAATGGTTGGCTAGTTTGGGAAAAGTGGAGGCTGATTTCAAACGATTAACTATTCAGTGGGAAGTGGATGGTCAGAAGAAGCAGATACAAGGTGATTCATCTCTGAGTAAATCCACTGTTTCTTGGAAAGGTTTGATGAAAACGTTGCAGGGTAAAGGAGAGGGTTATTTTATCCATTGTGAAGAGTTGACTACTGAAAAACAAGAAATTGGAAAGGAATGGGAAGAGATAATTTCAGAATTTCCTACAGTGTTTCAAGCTCCTCAAGGTTTACCTCCTAATAGAAGCTGTGATCACGCCATCAATATTAAAGAAGGCGCTACCATTCCCAACATTAGACCCTACCGTTACCCTCAGTACCAAAAAGATGAAATTGAGAAGCTGGTGCATGAAATGCTGAAGGTAGGGATAATCAGACCAAGCAACAGTCCTTACAGCAGTCCCATAATTCTGGCAAAGAAGAAGGATGGGGGATGGAGGTGCTGCGGAGATTATAGGGCCTTGAACAAGATCACCATCCCAGATAAATTCCCAATACCGGTCATCGAGGAGCTTCTAGATGAGCTGGGACATGCAAAAAAATTCTCCAAGTTGGATCTTAAGTCAGGCTACCATCAAATCCGCATGAAAGAAGCAGACATTCACAAAACCGCTTTTAGAACACACGAAGGGCATTATGAATATCTAGTGATGCCCTTCGGATTAACAAATGCTCCCTCCACCTTTCAGTCTCTAATGAATCAAGTTTTAAAACCCTACCTCCGGAAATTTGTTTTGGTGTTCTTTGATGACATCTTGGTTTACAGTAGAAGCTCAGAGGAACATAAAGAGCACCTGGAAGCAAATCAGTTGGTGGTTAATAAAAAAATGCAAATTTGGGCAGACTCAACTGGTCATATCATCTCCGGACAAGGGGTGCAGGCAGACCCTAGCAAGATCCAAGACATGATTGATTGGCCTCTACCTCACAACTTAAAAGGATTGAGGGGTTTCCTGGGGTTAACAGGATATTATAGGCGATTTGTTAAAGGATATAGCAAAATTGCTACTCCTCTGACGAATATGCTTAAGAAGGGTGGATTTCAATGGAGTCCTGAAGCGATAGCAGCGTTTGAAAAAATGAAAGTAGCTATGACATCACTACCAGTTTTAGCTACCCCGGATTTTGAGAAGACATTTGTTATCGAGACGGATGCTTCAGGGACCGGAGTTGGGGCAGTCTTGATGCAGCAAGGGAGACCCATAGCGTACATGAGCAAGGTGTTATCTGCCCAAAATCAGAGCAAGTCAGTTTACGAAAGAGAACTATTGGCCATAGTGTTGGCCATTCAGAAATGGAGGCCTTACCTTCTGGGACGAAGTTTCGAAGTGCACACGGATCAAAAGAGTTTAAAATTCCTTACCGAACAAAGGTTGCTCGGAGAAGACCAACAGAAATGGATTTCTAAATTGATAGGATATACTTTTGTTATTAAATATAAACAAGGCTGTGAGAATAAAGCTGCTGATGCTTTATCCCAAAAAGGTTGCTTGACATCATTATCAGTGGTTACTTGTCAAGAGTGGGAGGGTTTAGAAGAAGAATTGTTGAAGGATGTTCAGTGCCAGAGACTGATCCAGGATCTTCTTGCTCAGCCTGAGTCTCACGCAGGATTCAGATTGATAAAAGGACTGCTGTACTACAAAGGCAGATTGGTAATTCTAAAAGAATCACCCAGAATCCCAACTCTCTTAAAAGAATTTCATGACTCCGCTTGCAGGGGTCATTCGGGTTATCTTAGGACCTTTAAAAGAATATCTAATGTTGTGTTCTGGGCAGGTACGAGGTCAGATATCCAACGATATGTGCGGAGTTGTGACATCTGTCAGCGCCATAAATCTCAGAATTTGACTCCAGCCGGGTTGCTTCAACTGCTGCCTAATCCTAGTCAAATCTGGGAGGACATTAGTATGGATTTCATCGGAGGTCTTCCTCGAGCCATGGGTAAAGATTCTATATTAGTGGTGGTTGATCGACTAACCAAGTTTGCACATTTTATTGCTCCATCTCACCTCACCCCTATACGGCTAAAGGAGTTGCAGAAGTTTTCATCCAAGAGGCGGTCCGCCTTCATGGGTTTCCTAAAACCATTGTCTCGGATAGGGACAGTATTTTCCTAAGTGCATTCTGGTCCGAGTTATTCAAAATGGCGGGGACAAAGTTGAAGTACAGTACTGCCTATCACCCCCAAACCGATGGGCAGACTGAAGTGGTGAACCGGTGTCTTGAAGGTTATTTGAGATGCATAACTGGGAATAAGCCCAAGCAGTGGCTGAAGTGGTTGTCCTGAGCGGAATATTGGCACAATACCAATTATCACGCATCCCTAAAGAGCACTCCTTTCAAGGCCCTATATGGATGAGATCCACCTATATTAGTCAAAGGAGATACCAGCTTGACCCATGTGGACGAAGTGTCCAAATTAACAGCTGAGCGAAATGAAATGTTGCAAGAATTGAAACATAATTTGGAAGTAGCTCAAAACCAGATGAAGCAACAAGCCAACAAGCATAGAAGGGACCTTCATTTTGAAGTACGAGATAGGGTATTCTTAAAAATACAGCCCTATAAACTAAAAAAGTTTGGCTAAACGAATAAATCAGAAGCTGAGTCCTCGGTTTTATGGTCCATTTGAAGTGGTTGAAGTGATTAATCCGGTGGCCTATAAATTGAAGTTACCGGAAGGTTGTGCAGTTCATCCGGTGTTTCATATATCACTTTTGAAAAAGACAGTTAAACCAGATATACCTTGCCAACCACTGCCTTCTTGCATCTCAGAAGAATGGGAGTTACAATCCCAGCCAGAAGAAGTCATCGATTTCAGAGTTTCAGCAGCAGGAACTCGAGAGGTGCTGGTTCACTGGAAAGACCTACCACAGATTGAAGACTCATGGGAAGATTGGGAATTGCTGAAGAGAAAATTTCCTGAGCTACACCTTGAGGACAAGGTGTTTTTAAAAGGGGGGTGATGATACGTGCACTACCTTATTTAACATAAATCCCAATAGGGATTTTTCAAAAGTTTATAAAAGGAGGGGCAAGAAGGTAAATAATCAGAGAAAGGAAGCGGAGGCAGAAAATAACATACTAGAGGAAGGGGAATAGTCCGCAGAGGGTGAAGAAACGAATAAAAGCAAACGGAAGTGGAAGGAGAAGGCACTGAGAAGTTGTTCGGAACTGGGAGAGCGAGATCCTCTCGAAAGATCTCATTTTTACTTTCTGCTATTTTGTTCCTTTATAGTTTTTGTTCCCAGACTCTGTTCTTGAGTTTTCTCAAATAATACAATAATATTAAGTTGAGTGTGTTGTGACAGTTTGTGGGTGAGAGACCTTATCATTTCGTAAGAGGGATTGTCTCCTAATTGCTTTGAATGTGTGTACCTTTGCCGTTCATTCATATTTCATTTATGTTGCTGCTGCACATATACTACATCTATATGTCTGAAATTTATGAATTGCCACAGAATGTAAAAACACAGCCCAAAACTTTCACCATCACTTATGCTCTCTTTATTACTCCCTACTCACCTAAAAAGTGCCTTCTGTTAAAAGTTTTTTTGTTCAAAGAAAATAAGAATCCTATTTCATGAAGGTAGCTAATTTTTCATGTGATTACATTACTTTAAACAGTACAACTTGCCAAGCTAGAAAAGTTGTACCTCTACCAAATAAGATTTTTTGGGGGGAAGAAGAAGTAAATTTAATTGTCATCCTTTTAGTTTGGGTTAATAATATTGCACCAACAGATGAGGGAGATTTTGGGCACTGCATGTACCCAGTTTCATTTTCATTTTCATTTTCATTTACCCCAGTGCCGCAAAGGCTCCCACCTACGGTGGGGTAAGGGGGGGTCGGATGTACGCAGTCTTACCCCTGTACTAAAGCACAGAGAGACTGTTTTCGAATGACCCATAGTGAAAATCCCGTCCAAAATTGCATGGACTGACTGCTGCTTCATAACAAAGAAGCGCAGACAGTTTAGTGAGCCATTTTGCTTTATTCCATCATAATCTAAAGCCAAAAAATAATGAATCTTTGGCTCCATTGCAAATGATGGAAATTTGTAATACTGCATGTACCCAGTATTCCATAAAATTTCTTCTAGTAGGGAAATTTTAATATCCTGAAAGTGTTCATAATAAATCAATTAGGATAGTATGAGGTCTTCTACTGTTGTCTTCAATTTATATCTGTGAGGTACTGAGGTGTTTTTCTGCTAACTTTAGAGTTGAGACAAAGTTTCCATCAAATTTAGAAATCTATTGTCAATAAATTTAAAACTAATACGGAGTAGTTTTTATTGATTTGGAAACCAGATAAATGAGCACTGAGCAGTAAGGAAAAACACGACCATAACCCACTATCAGTCACCTGAGCTGCAACAGTGTGAGAACGAGTGGGAAAGAGTTTGGTAATGCAAGCAGTGTTGAATCCATGCTCAGACAATCCAATAGCTGCTCTAAGTCCTGCACCACCAGCACCTACCACCACTGCGTCATATGTGTGATCCACTATCGTATAGGATGACCCTCCCACATTCTGTTAAATTTATATTAAAAAAATGGTAAATAATACGTAGAATATAATAGAATTCAATCATCATTTATAGTAGCAAAACAAATCCACGTAACTTGAAAAATGCACAAACCAAATCCGAATAAATCATTCAACTGGCCATTTCATTCAACAAAAGATTCAATCAACCGAGAAAACTCCAAATCTTATAAGACCTGGAGTTTAAGCATCTTTTATACATCTACAATCAGGGATGTCAGATAAACGATACAAGAGGTCACGATTGAAGTGATTTTAGGATATAGTGAGCTTAGATATTCATATACATACAGTCGCACATGCATATCTAGAGAGGGAGGAAGGCTGAGATCATACAGCTTGAGTAGATAGGAGTCGCCGGAAATGGGAGTCGCCCGAGATTGATCTCTTAGAACAACTGCGAAGGCCACGCGACACGCAGCGCCACATCTCTACCGAAACTTGAATCGAATGCGTGTGATTTTTTGTGTATGGACTTGCGACTCGTAAGTTTAAGAGATCGGAGAGGCAGGAGAGAAGCAGATGTTATAAGGCTAACCCCGACCAAATGAATATTTTGAGCTTGTTTTTTCTTTAGCAAATTAAAATTAGGAAAAATGATCCTAATAATTCAACTATTACCGGTTCGTTTATAATAATCTCAACTATCGATTATCTCTGAATAATCCCAACTTTAGTGAACTTCCGTCAATAATGATTCATGGTTAGCGGAAGGTCACTAAAATTGAGATTATTTTAAGATAATTGATAATTGGGATTACTATAAGCGGACCGTCAATAGTTGAGATTATTACAATCAATTTTTTTTCTTAAAATGATATTATTGAGTAATAATTTAAATATGGGATATTTTGAGTTTGCACCCCATTTTATTATCGAAATTAAACTTTACACCCCGTTTTTGAAATCTTTAGTATTTGCACCCCAACCCCGTATGAAAAGACTAAAATGCCCCTCAATTAACAATTTTGTTGGCCTTCAACATAATACTGATCGAGGGGCATTTTTGTATTTTCATACGAGATTAGGGTGCAAATACTAATGATTTCAAAAACGGAGTGCAAAGTCTAATTTGAATAATAAAATGAGGTGCAAACTCAAATTATCCCTTTAAATATTGTAGGCCAGACTATGGGGTGCGAGAAAGGCCACGAATGTTGTTACTCATTGACGCTTCAAAAATGAATTTACAAAGAGGCCAACAAAAGGTGGAAGGAAGGACGCGCTACTGGGCTTTAAACCACATATATACTCCCTGCCGCGTGAATCTACCGCCAATTTTAAATGAGAAAACTAATTACGCAATACTCCCTCTATCTCAATAATAGTCTGAGTAGGTTTTGCATGTAATTTTAGATAGTTTGTAGGTTAACTGTACACTTTTTTAAAATGTAGGAGACTTTTTGTACTGTAGCTACTTTTGGAGTGGAATTATTTCCTAAAATGGAAGTGAGACACTTATTTTAATACGGGAAAAAAAAATGAGACACTTATTGTGATACGGATGGAGTACTACGAGTACTAGTGTACTACTACTTTCATCCCCTAAGACTGGGATAAAGAAAAGTGATGCAAGTTTTAAGAGAAGTAGAGGTGACAATGAAAATAAAATGGGAATAAAGTAAAAATGAATTATAACTACTCAATTAATACTAAATATGATATGAGACAAATTTAATGGGACAGACGAAAATGGAAAAATTGAACAATTATAGTGGAATGGAGGGAGTAATTAAGAATGTTTTCAAATGAATTAATTTTAGTTTGGGAAAATGGAAACTAATAATCCAACCTTTTAGGGGTCTTCTTACAATAGTCTCACCTTTTGTTTATTCATGAATAATCCAACATTTGCACCTCATCTTCATTCAATGATCCCTGGCCGATTTATGACCTGTTATTCCAAATTATTTTCTTATCTTTGCAAAACATTATATGATCATAAAGTGGGAATTATGGTATAATGTTTTACAAAGATAAGAAAATAACTTGGAATAACATGTCATAAATCGGTCAGGGACCAATGAATGAAGATGGGGTGCAAAGGTTGGATTATTCATGAATAATCAAAAGGTGAGACTATTGTAAGAAGACCGCTAAAAGGTTGGATTATTAGTTTCCGTTTTCCCTTTTAGTTTTACAACGGATTTAATTCAATTGAATTCAGTTTTAAGTCAGACTAGATCAGATTCAAACAAATCAGATCAGACGACCGTCATTAAAAATAAATATGACATAGATATATTAGATCAAACTTAAACAGTCCATGATAGATTAGCCCAAATCAAAATCACACCAAAAAATTATGTCTAATAAAAAACATTCTAAATCATCTTAAACAGGTCACATTAGATTTAATCAGCTCAAATCACACAAAGTAGTCTTAAATAGATCAAACAAACCTACGAAATTTCAATCTAATTAAAAATCCTAAATTCCATTCTAATATTACTCAATGCTATAAAATGTGAGCAGTCTTTGACACCTTGTGATGTTAGTAAGCTGGTTTTATATGCTCTTCCATCAAAAAATTTATTGTAATTAATATTACATCCATTTTTTTAGTTGCAACATTAGTTAATTTCGCAGTGTTCATATACTCTACCTTGACTACATTTTTTGTAAAAAATGTTAAATTCTTCTCATTTTAAATTTTCAAGAACTGATTTTTTCAATTTTTTACTGATAAGAAACAAAAATTATTAATGGTCATAAAGCATTTACCGAAGCGAAAGATATTAATGGTCATAAAGCATTTATCGAAGCGAAAGGTCTGTTTTTTCCCCTAAGAATAGAGAAAAAAGGATCAAACATGTGTGTTGGCAACCGTGAATGTGGTTGTTGCAATTAAAAGAGAATGGATGAAGTACTTATTTTTTCAGGTTTTTTTTGAACCGGGACTAAACATCTTTATTAATTTAATAAATCATTCAACATCTGGCTTACAATGCACTCCGGTATAAAATTGTAACTACTAATCTGATCTGAGATAGCAACATGCGTTCTTGCTAAAGCATGAGTCGCACGATTCGCAGATCGTTTACAGAAAGACATCACGTAACTACTCTTTTTTTGAAGTAAAGAACGAATATCGTTAAGAATCAGATCCAAATACGTAATGCTTCCACCATTTTGGACTCCTCGAACAATCACCCGTGCATCCCATTCTATTTCAACATTTTCACATCCCTCCCTAATAGCTTCAAGAATTGCCTCACGAATTCCCACCATTTCTACTTCCACCGGGGACCATTCCGCTTTGCATGAAGCACCACCTGCCTTCACAAATTCGCCCTCATCATTCCTTGTCAGCCAACTCCATGCTCTTATTCCCCAGAGCAATCAATCGTTGCGTCCACATTTACCTTAATTCCTCCCATCTTGGTCGTTTTGAGTTCTATGCTTCGCTCCTCGCGCTGCTCCTCTGTTTTGCCACAGCCTGTTGCGCATCTCTCCAAGCCTGCTGCATTCTCGCACAACAATTGATAACACTGGCCGCATTCTGCCAGTCGTTCTCCCACACGAACACATTTCTTCGCTTCCACAAACCCCAAACCAACATTGCTACCTTGCACCTTTTTTCTTTGCCCACAGCAGCCAACAAGTCTTGAACCCAATCCTCCTGTGAGACTTCCCCACCACCTATATCCACCCAGCCTCCGACCAGACTTCAGCAGCTCTCGGGCAGGACGGCAACGCGTGATCCGATGTTTCGGTTCCCTGCAAACAAGCTTTACAATTGTTTTGGGCAGACACTCCTTTTCGCTCCGGGTTCGCTGATGATGGAAGAGATCCATTCATGACCTGCCAAAGAAAATATTTTATCTTAGGTGGGATTTTGAGATCCCAAAAATCTTTCCAGTCGCTCCACCCTCCTACCTCTGCTCCTTGCATCAAAGTTTTATAGCAAGTCTTAACAGTAAAAACACCATTATTTTCTTTGCTCCACCAGAAGCCATCCTTTTTTTCTCCTTGTTCCATTTTCTTCCTGTAATATCTCTCAATGCCGCTACATTCATATCAGTTATTCCAGCAGGTTTAGCTGATTGGACCTTGCCTTCCTCCGGACCTGGTAACCAAGCATCAGCCCAGACTTGTACCTCCCTGCCATTCCCAAATCGCCGCCTAATATTATTTTTTACCACGTCTTGAGTCTCAAGAATGCTTCACCAAATAAAAGAAGGATTATTACCCAACTTAGCCTTCAAAAAATCTGAATTAGGAAAATACCTCGCTTTTAGGACATGCCCCGTCAAACTTTATGGATTTAATAGAAGCCTCCAGCCTTGCTTAGCCAGCATAGCAAGATTAAATTCCTTCAATTTTCTGAACCCCAAGCCCCTTATTCTTTCGGCTTACACATAAAATCCCAGCACCTCCATCTGATGCCTATTTGTTCAAACTTTGTACCTTTCCATCAGAACCTATTCATAAGTTTCTCAATCTCGTCACAAATGCCGAGGAAGTAGGAAAACATTCGTGGCATATGTAGGCATAGCCTGCACCACATTCCGAAGCACCACAGCCCTTCTAGCCCGGGATAAAGAGCGATTATTCCAACTTTTTATCCTCTGAAAATTTCTATTTCGGATGAAATAAAGAATAGCTGATTTTCCTCGTCCTACCAGACTCGGCAGACCTAGATACCTCTGTTGACCTCCATCATGCGAGACTCCAAAAAGATTACAACATTGTGCTTTAAAAGGCTCAATAATATTGTGGCTAAATGTCACAGTAGATTTGGCGAAATTAACCGTCTGCCCTGAGTTTTCCTCGTACTCCTTCAATATCTCCTTCACGTCCAAAAGGTTGAATGCCCAACCCCAAGCCCCCCCCCCCCCCCCCCCCGACCCGACAGGATGGTGAGGAGTTTAATCACGGTGACTCAGTTAGCAAAGCGGCAGTAGGCCACTTCTTCAAAACAACTTGTACATTCAAAAAAACTTGTAAATGACCGGTTTCAAATAAAGTTCTATTCTCTTTGGTTGATGTTACATAGACTAAGAGTATGGTTTTGAATCATGAGTTCTAACAAACTTGTTGGGATTGGATCAAGTTGTCTCTCTCGGTTTGTTCCCTTTCAAAGTTAATTACCAAAATAAACACAAATCTTCCCCTTCTTTAAATGCAAAAGGAGAATTAAAAATAGGGAACAAATTCTTAACTTGGTATCAAATAGAAAAAGTATCAGTAACCATTAGCAGTATAGGTTTAGAAAGCAGTATTTAGTCATGCAAAACAATCATATGTGCATTGTCACATGAAGTTTGGTGTGGACCCAAAACAATTTAAAGCACTACATAATTTGCTTGATTATCCGTCCAATGTCATCGATGATGTGTGTGCGCCTTGGATAGCATGTTGAACCTCTATACTTTCAGTTTCAATGATAAATTGATAACCTGTGAAATGGGAATATGTAGCAAGAAGTGAGAGTTTTAAAAGTTCAAAAAATGCATTGTAGAGGGCCATATCACGGTCATCCATATTAAGGATGTTTGTGCAATGAGCAATGTAGGAACCTGTAGCGTCTCTAAAATCCATACATGTACGATACAGAGAATCTTTAATTTCTCTAGAAGCCATAT